GGCTCTTTCTTATTTGCAGCCTTCTGACTTGGAATCAGTATAAGGACGCAAGAATGGCTACTTGGTGCTAATAACCATGCTATGTAAACTTACGCACTGTGGTATCACAGATTATAGGCGGGTTAGACACTCTCCCTAAATAATTATCCACTCTTGTTTATATATATATATATATATATTTTTAATTTATTTATTTTTTAATTTTATTTATATATATATATATATATATTTTTTTTTTTGGTCAGTCCATACACACATTTCTTGCCTTAGTGGGACCCCCTTTTGCTTGCCCCAATTATAGATAGTGTCATAGTGTACAGTGTACATGTATTTTATTATTTTATTGTTTGGTTTAGTGTTGTAGTTCAAGAAGAGTCTCGTGCTGACTGGTCAAGTGCAATTGTTGAAGTCAAAAGAAGCTTCCAATGCTTTCAAGAGCTCCTCAATCCTCAGGCTCACTTGATCAATGGTATAAGTACATACATTTATAGAACTATTATTGGATATTTATGATGCTGTATTATTGCTGCTATACACAGTATACATTTTGAGGCTATTTCATGGGATTCTGTTTTCATTTGCAAATATTATGCATGTACATGTACACTAATATAATTATAATGTTTGATTGATTCGAAAAATTTGGGCCCTCAAACTACATGTACATGTATACTGTATGTGTCAGTCATTATTGTGTCTTATTAGGTGATGGTGTTGTTCCTGAGGAGTTTGATGAATGGATATCAACTTCAGCTGAAGGGAATATCTTAGAAGCTACTAATCTAGCAGTTAATGGTAATTACTTGTATTACATTTTATGATGCATAGTACATTGTACATGATTTTATGTTGTGCTCAAAGTTTTAGTCAAAATTATTTTTTAATAAATTTTAAAGACCCTGTACTTATAGTACAGGGTCATTGGCAAAATTTTGTCAAAAATGGCTAGGAAAGAATTCTCCATTTTTGTATTTTTTCCTGATACATATACATGTACTGATGTTGTGTAGAAATTTTGGATGAGTTCCGATCAAAATTAAATTTTCTATGAATTTTTTAATTTGCTCCAAAATCATATCGAAGACCCTGTACTATAGTACAGGGTCATTGGCCAAATTTTGTCAAAAATGGCTAGGAGAGAATTCTCCATTTTTATATTTTTTTTCTCATACATGTACATGTACTGATGTCGTGTAGAAATTTTGAACAAATTCCAATGAAAATTGGATTTTTTATGAATTTTATAAAGTTTCTAAAATTTGGCCCAAAGACCCAACTGTATTCTGTCAAAAATGGTTATGAGAGAATTCTTATATTATACACTGTACATGTACATGTGCAATGTACAATATACTTGAAGTGTGCTATGCTAGATTTTTTATTAATTTTAGAAATTTTTGCCAAGTAGTAAGCACATGTAGTGATTCAGTTAATGTACCTTGTAATAGCAGCACATTGTGTAGTAATTATTAAATATTTCCGTTACTATGTGTCTGGACTGCCACATGAGTGTTTTTATTTTGGCTAATCCTTTGTAGTTTTGGAGAATCATTATAAGAATTGTAACTTCAATACAACTGGTCAGCAAATAGTTATTGTATCTCCAGGAGCAGGAGTCTTTGAGGTACAGTATGTTCAATACTCAATACTGACTTAATAATAGC